TCAAGTTAATAATCCAGGGAAGGTGACAGATGGTAACCCTGCAGGTGCGGTGAACAGCTTGACTTATCTGACGTTACTGGCTGCCATGATAGCTACACTGTTGTAGGTGGCACCAGACACTCAAGACAAGACCAATTTACAGTTTAAAAAAATTGCCATATAAAGAAGCTGGTGCCAACTTGGCCACAACAAAACACTCTTATAGATGTAGTGATATATGTATTGTGCTTTAGTGAGAACTATGGGTTATGGGATTTAAACATAAGTGCTCAATACACTGCAGGAAGAACTAACATACATGTAATACCTACCGAGTTCGCATTTGTGGCTTTGAAAATGGTAACTGTAATTATACATGTAAGGTTTTTGATATGTACTATTATTGTAATGGATTTAGAAATGTGTATATATTAAAAAACCCTAAAGGCTACTTGAATGTTCCATTCATGAATGGCAATGTCATTTAGCCAGCTTGTTGAACATGTCATCTTTCCATCTTTGATCTTTCCTTCATTTATGAGATTATCGAACGTGTAACCAGATTTTATTCTAAATTTGCAAGCAAATTGTCGTAAGCATTTCTCTGGAGGTGAGTAGAAATTTGAAAATGGCACCATTGCTCAGACATAATTAGATACTCGCACATCTGTTTTAGAAACAGACATAAATGATAGAAATTAAGATATCTTAAGGCTTGATGCCAAGAGCTTTGTTTTATGTACTTTTATGTGAAATTGTCACATTGTGTCAAAAAAAAAATAATCAAAAGGAATTTCACAGAAAGAGATCTGATTGCAGATATTTAATGAATTGAAATGCCAAATGAAATGTCTAATGGTTGATGCAAGTGTATGTTGATTGCTTTTCACTTGGTGTATAATTGAAGGTAGCGTGCGTGTCACTGTAATGAATGGAAAATTAAACTACAAATATATGTCAGTTTGAACTGTAATTCAAGTGAAAGTTTATTGAAGTTAGCTTTTTTATTGTAGTTGTATTCAAATGAAGAGACTATTGACTTGCACATTTTATAAAAATGTGGCATAAGTTCGCATGTCCCAAGTTCCCAACGGCTATGTATTCTTTGTTGTTTGCAAATCCTGGCATTTGGTACCATTATAATAGTAGGTGCAATTACCTTTATATCTTATGTATCGTCCATTATGTGAATTATGAAAAACGAGTATTTCAAATACTCCCAAAATTAAGAGATTGGAATACTTAAATTTGATGCCAGCATTCAGATTGTGATTGGTCCCAGATGATGCTCATAACCCACCCTCTACAAGGGTGGCAGATTATATAGGGAAAACTGAAAAATCCACAGAGCAAAAAGACTATTTATCTAGAGACATACCTGTGAATATTTGTGAAAAATTAACCTGGTAGAGGGTGCTCATAACCAGTGATTAGTGCAGAAGTGGAAATATTTGTCCTTTAGTGCTTCTTTTACCTCATATTGTACCATATCACCTAGAACTACAATCAAGGGAAGAATTTGTTTTATGATAGTAGAACAACACAAAACAAAAAAAAAAATGCCCTTGTTCCAGTCCTAGTAAACCAGATACATAATCAACATAGATATTCATATTAATTTCATCAATTAAATTAATACAGACTATTTTAAGTTCTTAATGATAAGCATATGCATATGATTGTAGTAGATCGACTTTAGACCACTCTCATTTATTAGACAACGAATATACGTTGGTACGGTTGAAGCTTTCTTTTGTCAGCGGTTGTATTAAAGTTTGTGTGTTGATGGATTTACTCTTACATGCTTATGAAAGTGAATTATATTATATACCTCTAAATTGTTTAGACTAGCATGTAGGATAGACAAAAATTTTAAGTGAATGCTAGATGGACGGTCATGAAGTTGATTATGCTCTCTGTTTCTTCCTATTTAGAAGAATGCCAACCAATGAAAGACAAAAATCTAGGTCAAATGAACCAAATAGAGCTAGTCTAAATGTAAATTGTGTAAAAAGTCACCTTTTGTAAATGTTTCAAGTACTTTTAATTTTATATTAAACCCTCATAATTTAACACCATTTTGCATTCATTGTAATTATATAACTAGAGTAGCATGCATGCTGTTTCATTTGTTATATTCACTCAAAGAGTGCTGATGTAACTGTAGTTAATGCACAGATACTGATGATGTCAGATAGTATCTATGGTAACTATTTTATTGATGACATCATCAGTTTGGGTGTAGTTGTGTTGAAATGTTGTATGATTCTGACTTCCATTTGATATTTAAATGTGTCTGTACATGAATGTTAATAACAAAATGTTTGTAATTTTTTTTATTTGACAGCCATTGGCTATTTTGTTTATTTTTAAAAATTAGTGATAGGTTATCCGCTACTAGTTTATTTTCCCCACTTTTATCACATAGGCATAATTAACTTACTTTTCATATGGCATTTATTGTCATGAAATATTTTCAACCTGTTTATTTTATCTTAATCACATTTGAATTGTCTGGCACGTATACTTTTATACGCCTTTTATATATGAGTGCTCTTCACAATCATTGATTCATATAATTCTAGTTTTGACACCATCAGAATAAAAGACATCATCCGAATGCTGTACATTTCAAAGATTTGTCTGGGGTGGATTTAAGCAGTCTGCTACAGTTCTGGAAATTGTAAATTTTTTCCAAGAGGTCTCAAATTTTTGAATATCTGTAATTTCGGAAGTCTAGACTATTAGTAGCATGGACAGAACATTGTCAGTATAGGCTTCTTCTGTCACATTTAACTGATTTTGATTTTTTTTCCAGAATTAAATATTTTTATGGTGTCTTAGTTTAGAAAGGCATGTGTGCAGTAAAGATCTACTATTATTGACATAATTTTAGACATAAGCTTACTCCATTTAGTATTTCAACCAAGTACTGGTATATGTATACAATATAATTTTGTTTTGTGACTCTGTGTTTACTAGATGTTCAGATGTGAAATTTGTAAGCATTTTATGTATACAGTGAGCAAAAATAAATGTCACTTTTTTACATTTGTTTGTTGTTATCATCATATTTCTTTATTATTAATCGAGTAAAGCCAGTTTTGTCATGCTTAACTGACTGGAAAAGGTTGACAGCTTTGCATTGCAGAGTTGGAATTCTCTACACCAACGGAGTCACAGGGTTGATGTCTTTCTTCGTGAATGCATGTATCTTTCAAATATTTTAAGTGTGTTACATACTAAGTGTAAGAGACTGTGACGTGGTACTGGTCATGGAACATGAGCAATCCCTGCACCCTTCCTTAATTTGTTTTATATCTGAGGGGAGGTTGCAGCTACAATGTGGTTTTTATTACGTTTAGAGAGGAGCCGAAGTGAACGCACAGGATCAATTCAAAGTTTAACTGTGGGTTAGTTTAGTTAGTCTATTGTCGAGAAAAGCGATAGGTGGAACTCTTCTAAAAAAGTGGTAAATTGTGTGTCAATGTACATGGGTGTAATGTCTTTCATATTTTTAGAATAATTCTCCATATTCCTCCCTGGATTTTTTCTCAAGCACTCTTGTGGTGGACCAAAAGCAGCAATTGGCAGTTAGCAAATGAGAAGTCATAACAAGACCATTCATTACAAGTTGCTGTTAAAGTCCTCAATTCTAATGTGTGCCTCCCAGCTACAACAATGCGCAGCAATATATCTCCCAAATGGTCGTGTAATGTCTATTTAGCTATTCCTGGTACATTGATGTGATTGTCCATTCTTAGAAATCCAGGCATTGTCAGTATTATTACCAAGATTGGACCAGATTTGATGTGGTAATGGTTCTCTTCTATTCTGTTAAGTTGTTATGGGTTTCAATTGTCATTGCTTACACATGCAGACAGATTGTTGTCAAGATTTGAAAGCAAACAAAGGAAAAGGATATATTTGTTGTCTTTGGTGTGCAAAATTAAGAACTTGCCTGGGTATAAAAACATGTTAAGGTACCTTTCAGTAAAATTATTCATATGATAATACTGTCAAGTGAAATCCAGCAGAAAGTGGGCCATTTTTTTAATTGAGTTTCTACAATTACAATTAATGATTATTTTTAAAATTTCAGGTTCAGAATTATATTTCTAAGTAGATTAAACATTGAAACTGCCAAAATGTAAGAAAAAATTGTAATTTTTACATGGAAAATTGTCTGAATCATTTGTTGGCTACAACAAATTTATGTATAACATGCATAACAACAAAAAATTTGTTGTAACCATCTAAATAAAATTAAATTGTTAGCTTTATCTGCATTAATATATCAATTAGTGTAGAAAATGCGTCATGGGACACTGTTTTAAAAACTAATGAAGTGATGCTTTTGATATTTTTCATTTTTCAACATACAAGAATGAAAAAATAAAAGTGTGATATTATTTATAGATACTAATATCTTGATCTCCCTTTGTTAAATGATTCTGTCTTGTTTGTGGGTATGTGTCAAGTGAATGTTGTGAAATACAGTAACTGCTGACAAAATACAAACAATATTACAAGGCTCCCAGTGATTTCAAGTAATGAACAAATTTCATCCTGACAGTAAGACAAAAGGTAGATATATTCAGTAGTCCAAGAATGGTACCCCACAGTATGAAGTGAATGGTAGTGTACATGTATTATACATGATGTATTATAAAAGTTTCACAAAGTTCCTACATGAAATTCAGTACTCTGCATGAAGTAAAGCTTTTTTTTTAAATAAGATTGTGTAAGACTAGCACTAGCAGAACAGCAATAGTCAACAACTTTTCAATGTCTGCACAAAAGTGCATCTTTTATATAGGGTCACTGCTGCATCAAATTATTCCCATTTAAGACATTTGACTTTATCCCAACCACAAACAGCACCAAGTCAGAACTTTTAATTATTTCAGACTCTTAAACTGTTCAAAGAAACACAATGGGCAATGCAACCAAAAAATTGTTTGAATTTTGTCAAAATCGTTGTAGCTTAGTTGGTAAATTGCTTGTGTTTATGTTTGTAGACCCCTACCAACCCACGGATGGTACAGAACGTATGTATAGTGCAATATTTCCTCATGTTTTCCAGCTTCAGTTGTACTAACTTTGCCATTACTATTATAGTTATGAACTGGGGATGGTGATACATTTTGGAAAAGAATTAAAAGAGACCATGGTACCAGTAGGTATCTTTTTAGAGTGAAAAAAAAAAAATTGTTGTGTTGATAATTTACTAGTGATTTGGCATTAGATTTTGAAGACAAATGAGACCGTCTCTTTTTCTGATTTGTCTATAAATGTATTGCCTTCTTGTGATGATAATAGAGCTTTATATATATATATATATATATATATATATATATATATATATATATATATATATATGCCCAGTTAAGGCGTGTATCAGAGACATGCTTTGATATGCCTAGTCCAATCATTTTATGCTTACTTAACATTGGTGGCAGCGGTGGGATTTTCTTACTAAATGTATAGCCTATACTCTTACATATTATGCACGAAAATGATGTTGTTTATCTAAAGAAAAGAATTGTTAGGTCAACAAACTGTTTTCATATGAGATATTGCCAACTAAAATTCAAGTGTTGACTAAATCATTATTTTGCTGAATTTTCTTTTGGTTTGTTTAACACTTAGATAAGTTTCCAGTTTATGTTTTCCATAGTTTTAGTGATTCTTTGTTTAATTTCAAAAAGAAAAAGAACAAAAGGTTGTTACTTTTTACTTTTGATTGACCACAAGTTTGGTATCACGTTTTAGCATGTATTGATTAAAACCTTTTAAATTTTATGTACACAATCATATTATATTATTTGAACACAATAGTTTTTAGTTATTATTTCAAGCATTTGCTCGATATTTTTAATAAAATTATTATGTTTTGTTGATAGCATGTTTAGATTGCATCTTGGCACTTTTGTTTCAGCATTTAATAAGAAAGAAAACAACTTTTTTTAGTATATTGTGAAACTTTGGATATGATGCTTATTTCTTTTCTTTTCTTTTTTTTTTAATTCAAATAATTCCATCACATTTCTGTGTTTGGTAATTTCTGTTGTACTTGGGTTTACAATGGGCTAAAACTACTTTCGGTGCTTTTCTTCATTTGTTTATTATTATTATTAATATTATTATTATAATTTTATTACCTGTTAACATAAGTAAAAGTGCTTCATTATTAACATTTAATAACCAGATAGCATTATTGCAGTGAAAGCCTTCAATTAATGAAAGTGTGGCTAAAGTGATTTTGTTGAAGAGAGCAAAACTACTGACTGAAGTTATCACATAGATGATAGAAGTACAAAATGAAATATTTACATAAAAATTACAAAGTTGAGAGTGATCACACTCGCCAGCGTACATTTAGTCAGTCAGAACCTGCAGATATATTTGGAGAGAACAAATTAATCATGCATCTTATAAAACGGTATGAATATTTGGACATGCTTGCACATTATGACAGTTGATAGCTTTAACTGTAGCCGGCCACTGAAAATAAAAGCTGGATTTGGGCATGAGTATCTGTAATGGTTCTAAATAATTCTGTGATAACATGCTTCAAATATCTGCTTAGAATGCTCTTTTGGTAGTAATAACCTTTATTTCTTTTCGCAGAAAATGCTGAGCTATTATTTATGGTAGTAATCTTGGCTAATGATATTTTCAAACTTGAAAAATGTTCAACTAAAAATCTGAAGTGAAAACTGACATGAAGTGAAGCCCTGAAAAGCCAAATTACTCTATCACAAAAGTTTTCAAGCTGATCATCACCCTTGTGGTTGAACATTTTGCTTATGCCTTCTTACTAAACAAAAACCTACCATCATGTTATGCATGAAAATATTTCTTCCTATTTAAAGGTATTACATATGTAAAAGCATTGTTATATGCATGTATTTACTCACAGTGTATTAGCTATTGATCCAGTTAAGAATCTTGTTTTTTGTTTATATAATATCATATCATATGTGCAATTTGATGGTACTGATATTATTATATTTAATATATATTTCATATACTCAGGAAATAGATTAAGGCAATGTTCTTACTTGTTTGATTTTCCAGATATGTGTATTTCATATAACCATACTCAAAAATCATTTTTAACCGTGCCAAATTCATAGCATTCTTTTTCAGGAGTTCCACAAAATATTGAACTTTTTTATTAAGAAATTGTAAATGTATCTCAAGGATGCCCATGCATATAAGCTATAAACATTTCTTGAATTATATTATGCTGCATGATCTGAAACGAGAGCAGCTCGGACAAACTTGATGCTTGTCTTTGTCTTTATTTTCATTACCATTGCTTTAATTGTTATCTAAACTTCACTATTCTCCTAAACTGCCTTTTATCTTCATTTTTATCTCTTTCAAGTAGTACATTTTGGCCAGATTTTCCTGTATTTCTGCTTGCATTTGGTATTTTGGTTAATTTTATTCCATTTCCCCCTCCTGTTTTTAAGAACTCGTATGGTAAATTCCTAACCTTTTTTTTTTTTAAGATGAAAAGAGGTTCTATTTTGTTTGGCAATTTTCCTGTTTATATGTTACATAGCCAAAATTTTCTATCTAACATATCGGAATGTCAGTTTTTGTCAGAAGCCCCTTCTCCTTTGTATTAGTTCTCAACAAAACATGTAACAGATGAAGTTATTTTGTTTGAAACAAGTACATAACACAGCAGAAAGGAGGAGGCAAAATTATCCATTTTTATCTTGGTTTGGCCTACTCATTCCCCACTTCTCGTCACTTTGTACTACTTCTCCACTTCACTGAGTGTTTTCTGTGTCCTGTTATAGAACCCAACACCACGTTAAGTTATGCTGCTGAGAACACTACGCTGAGCCTGGGTAATCAGAGCACAGGTAAGTGCCAAGTGCATGGAGAGAGCGTAGGGACGCCGTTGTTCCCATTGGCCTGCATGGAGTATGACAGGCGTAGGAGTTATTTCAGTAGCCAGCTTCACATTTAACAGACAGCTCTGATTTCTGGCACGATTGGCAGCATATGATATACTTTCTTATATTGAAAGAGGAACTTGATGAGAGGAACATTGCAATTGTTCCTTGTAGCTGTAATTGAACTTTTGGTGACATAGTTACCTTTGGTTTGGATAGCAAGTTACCACTGTTTTGGTTATTCTGTCCCTTTTAGTGGTAATAATAAAGGTTTGTGTAGCTATTGTTAAAATATGATTCCATAGAGGAATTCTCAAGAAAAGCTCTTCCCCATTAAGAAATTCTCCAGAAAACTTTTTCCTCTCTTAATGCTTGTAGACTTTATACAATTTGAAAGTTGAAATCTTGAGCTGTCTGGATTTGTGAGGGACTAAGGGCACCATTGCCACCCTGTCATGAAAGAGATCACAAACTCTGGCCTGCGGACTAACTCATGCAAGTCCACGCCAAGATCAGTCTTATCTGGTTACTCTTGCTTCTGTTCTGTTCAATCTGTTTTCGTTTTGTCAGCTAAAAAAGTAGCTTTCACAACTGCCAAAGCATGACTGTTTGAGCTCCTCTTCTTCTCCCTTACAAAAACCTCCTAGGTATCTTGAGGCATGTAAGGTCCGTGCATTCTTCTCTCTCCTGGAAAAGTCTGATAGATTGTCACTCTATAGTAGTAAAGTATAGAATACTTGCTGTATATATATATATACATGTGTATGTACATATAGGCGAATGAGACCTTAGCTAGTCCAGCCATGATAGTCTGGTAGTCCTACAGTGACGCTGTGTGACCTGCACACATTATTAGGTGCATGACGATGTATTTCATCCTCTAAGCTTTAGAAAAAAAGAAAAGGAAAAAAGGACTGACTGTCAACCACAACAACATGCATCATAATTAACCAGTTTAAAAAGGGAGAAGCAATAAATTACACAGAAAATTTCAACACTTGATTAAAGCATTTCCGAGGCTCCAGGTGAAAACTATTTGTATAGTTTATATGTACATCTAAGTGATTGTTTGAGAGTAAAGGTACCTTGACAAAACTTAAAAACTTCTGCATTTTAGTTACCATTCAAAGAGGAATTTGCATAGCCTATATCTCAAATGTTTGAACAAGTATTTACAAAGCAAGTGGTTAAAGATAGGTTCTTTGCCAAGGCTTGCATGAACAGGGATCGTTATCATTATTATTTCAAAAATCTATGACGCATGTGCCCCCATTGATAAGATTCCGTGACTCGGAAAGCATGCTGTGGCTGTAAGAAAGTTAGTAGCATGGTGTGCTTACAAGTTGATACATCCAACACACAAACATGCAGTTATATAATGTCAAGCTTGAGTGAATTTTACTAATATATTGAAAGCTAACGAAATGTTGCTGCTGAATTTTTTAAGTTGACTGTTGCACCAGCTTGCCCAGATGGCAGATGTCTTTTCAGTTTATTAAGATTGTTCACCACTAATCTCTGTATAAGAAACTTTGAAACTTATATTTTATGCAAATTTGATGTTTCCTTGTATTTTTCCATAAGACTTTGAAAGTTTCTTCAAATTCTAATTTTCAAACTTAAAACTTGTAAATATCAGCAGCATTTAAAAAAATTTTTCAAATGGTTGTGAAATGCTAAAATTATAAAAAATTTGATCATGGACTTGAAAAGTAAATTTTGTTGTGTCCCATCGTGTTTTTGCCAACTTTTCACGTTTTTCTGTATTCCATGCACTGTTTTATAACAACTAGGAAGCACTCCCAGTTACACCACACCAATACCAATAGGTACCAAGGGTGAGTAGTACATACTCCTTAATGAAAGGGGGAGGCACTTGCCAAGATGATACTACTTCTGAAAAAAGAATCCACTTGGCTGATGATACCACATTTGAATTGTTGGTCATTTTTTAAGGATAAGAGTTAGTTCAAAACCAAAATGCTTCATGGTTCTCAAAATAAACAGCAGTTAGTCATAATTTATATAGCATATGGAACTATTTTGTATATATAATACAACCTTTATTTCTACTAGTTTTGCATATTAAATCAGACTATCGTAGTGGCATTACAACATACCTTCAAATAGATGTTCTAATATTACTCTCTTCTCTATGTCACCCTATATATGTGACCTTTGTTTTTCTTGTTAGAACTTGTATATCTGCACATTGTTACTCTCTGACCTGTTACATTCACCACATTTGTTTCAAAAGTTGCATTTCATACAGATGTATATTTTTGACATTTTACCATGATTATTGTATTTACCCTTCAATCCCCTAATTTGCAAGCTCATTTTTTCAGCAAAGGCAGAAACTGTGGAAATAACAACAAAATCTTGGCCAGTGTGGGACGCTGCCATTCAGTTTCCAGAGCAGATAGAACTGAGAACAGAGATTGTCATTGTTATTGGTGTCATTGTAGTCATTATAGTACTGACTGCTGTAGATGTAGCTTGTTATTTCACTGCCCGCTGTGGCATCATGCACCTCGTCATGACACGGTGCGTGCGCAAAAGGCGCAGGGACGCCTACATTGCAGGAAATAATTCTAACAGAGGGCAGAGTGAAGAGTTGGAGATGTTGAGAGCCAGCCCGGATGAGACTTACTTCAGCTATGAGGGGTGAGTAGTTGTTATGAAAATTACAATTCTATTTCTTTCAGTTTGTAACCCAGATGTGTTCTTTACTTTTAGGAGCTGCAAAAACTGGTGCTTCAAAGAAAGAAGGCCTCTCAACGGGCGCCATTATTGGCATAGTGATTGCCATCTTTTTCGTGCTCCTGATTATTCTTGACGTTTCTTGCTACTTCATAAACAATTGTGGCGTGCTCATGTGCATGTGCACTCAGCTCTGTGGCAAGAAAACACCTGCCGATCCAGCTAAACATAAAAAGGCTGCCGATGTGGAGAAAGGAACTGGGTAGGTGTTCCATATTGATATGCTCAAGCTTTCATCTTCTGACCTGCTCTCTCCGTCTCCACCTCTTATCTTTCTTCCAGCCTCTTCTTTAATTCTAAGCACCAGCAGCTCTGAGCAGTTTTCTTTAAAGACTACAACATGCTCCCTGGCTCAAGGAAAAAAATCTTATTCATATGGCTCCGTGACTGAGATGCCACATAATAGTTTTAGTTCTCTTTTGTTGAGCTGAGCTGAATTTTATAAATGAAGTGGCTTTTGGGCATGGCTACTCTTGACTTGAAATTAGATTGGCTATTTTTTTTGCAGTTATGAGCATTTAAATCATTTTTTTTTAATTAAATCTAGAAGAACATTTGTTTGGTGGTGGTAGTGGTGCTGCTGAGCTTAACACTCTGTTTGTAGAATAGTATTGTCTTGTTTGATTTGTCACATTAAGTTACCTGTTCATTCATGTATTGTCATAACTAATGCATTGGTGGGCCCAGCCAGCTGTGGATCTACAACTGCTATAGTTGAGAAATCATCTCACCTAACACAATAGAGAACTAAAATTGTGACCAACTATCACAACTACTGCAATGGACACCCTGACAGATAGTTAGTTGACACAATTTACACGGTGGATAACTAAAATGTGTCTAAGTGTCGCATCTACCACAGCGTATGCCCAGATACAGACCAGATGAAGTACTTTTAAGTACCTTTTTTATAAAAGGTACCAACTACCACTATTAAAAAAAAGAAAAGAAAAAACAGACAAAGGACATTTAAAAACCAATCATTTGTTTGAAATAATACAATGTTCCCTATTGTTTCCTATAGAGACGAAGGCAATGATGTCCAGATTCTGGTAGAGGACCATGATAATGGAGAAGACAACTTGGAGGAGTAAGAAAGATGATTATAAATTGAGTTTCAGTTTTAAGAATGTTTTTGATCATTAGATGTATTTTCATTGGTTTTACTGACCCTGTTGCTGGGGTAATGGGCAGTAGAAACTGTTGCAAATAACAAACCTGATTTTGATTAACAATTTGAAAATCACCTCTGCCTGACTAACCTTTTGCTATATTCAAACCACGGAGTGTCAACAGTATTTTTTTTTTTTTTTTTTTAATTTTCCAAAATTTTATAAAGAGATACAGTCAAGTCTTTAATTTTAATTTGCTACAATTGACTTTGAGATGGTGACAATTTTGTCAAGTGGTTTGCAAATTTTTTTTTTTTTTTTTTTTTTTTTTTGTAATTTGTAGTTTGCAACCACTGTTAGGGCAAATTGATAAGAATAAGTTTCTATCCAAGTATAAAATTGCAAAATATTCTTATTCCCAAATTGAAATAAAAATCAAGCTGTCAAACAGAAGACTGCCAGAATTTTTTTCTTTTAAAATTTCCTAAAACTTTGACACTGTCATTATAAATGTAGTGTCAGTAAAATCAACTTTGTTAATGTGCATTCCCAAATAAGTTAGTTATGCCTGACATTGTGTTGCTTTATTTGTTATCGCAGAGAATGTAAACAACCATTGCCTGAAGATGATGAAATTCTTCCAATAGATGGAGCCACTGAGGCTGGAGAGGAGTAAGATGCCCAGCATGAAAGTGTCCTTGTAATATGTCATGTGTCCAGTGTCATCATCCCATTGTTTTTTGTTTAAGCTAGCCTGTGCCCAAAATATTTAAACCTATAGCAACTATCCAATAAGGTCACCAGGGTCTAAGCATCTACTGGTCTAAAAAAGCAANTTTTTTTTTTTTTTTTTTTTTGCTGTCATTTTTTCAAATTATTTTTAGTTTCAGAGATGCCATAGAACCAAATCATTATTGATTTTTCCCCTGACAAGTTGAAACACTTTTATTTCAGAAGTAGTCTTTCTTTGATTATCCCATGTTCTACCCTAGAATGAAGATTATGAAAGTGTTATTAATTTGATTATTTGTATATTTTCAAAAGGAGCTCATGTTTGAATTACTCCATTTCTCCCTGAACATTAGTGTGTACTGTGTGATGTAACTGTTTTGTGTAAATGATGTGTTTGATGTATACATGTACACTCTGTTCCAGAATATTTTGATCTCCTCATATTCGTTGTGTGCCCTTTTTTTTCAGCATGTAATGAATGGTTAACATAATGCTAATCATGTCATTTTTCATTCAGTTTCAGAATGTGATGATTTTTTTACTCTGAAATGTTTTGATGTTTTCTTTTCATTTCTAAATTTTGATTTATTTTTTAATAGAATGAGTGGTTTGGCATGTTTTAATCATGTTGAGAATGTGTTTTAAAATGCATTAGTATGTATGCTGCATCTTTTTGTTACGGCTTGACATGATCAGAGTTTTTTATGTACAGATGTTTATAAGTCTGTGCTGGAACTGTACATCTTTCTGTTGAAAAAAAAAAAAACTAACAGTAATAAATGATGTTGCTGCCTTTTCTTTTTTGATTATCTATGGGGCTAAGATGATTATCAATTCAATTTTTTTCTAAGTTATGCTGATTAGTTTGAATTTTGGCTTGAATTTGACAGTATTTTACTCTTGGAGTATTCTTTTGTTGAGCAAACTTTTCTCATACAGCAGATGCTCTTGATATTGAATCTCTTTTCAGCAACTTGTCTGTACATATGACAGCATTTGCTGGCGATTATTTTCTTAATTCTTTTCCAATTTACAAAGCACGAATTAAATGCCTGTTTGCAGCTCAGTTATGTCGCCTTAACTTACTAGTATGAATAGGATGTCTCAACAATAATGGTGGTTTTTCACCATAGGAAATTGATTTCATTCCTTGGTTGTAATAGGCCTCACTTGTTTCACAGGAAAAAAGCTCGTCTTAAATTAAGGTCTAGAACCAAGTCTTAGAACCAAGCTAGACCAGTTGTAGTTCACCTAAATAAGGTATAGTGTTGCTGTTGTAGTACATAAAGAAATGACTGTTTCAAACCAACAGTTATTTTATATACTAGTACAGATTTATCCTGAAGAAATTGGAAATATTCTGGCTTGAAGTTCAGACCAACTGTTAGTCTTAAGTTCCTTTGTGTATCTAGCCCCAGTTCACCAACATTGTCCAGGGGCGGATTTAGGCCATCTTCTGGGTTTTCCGGAAGACCGTCAAATTTACATGGACAGGTGTCTTTTTTTTTTTCTGTCGGAAGACAGTCAAAAATGGAGGCTGGATCAACAAAGATAATTTGGAAGCCTGTCAAAATATCTCTATATCCACCCTTTTTTGTCACTATGATGAGTGTCATATTGTCCCAGCAATAGATGGCGATGGAGTCATCAAACATTTTCCTATTGTCTGCTGGGATGGCATGGCACTAAGTTGGGCTGTCATAACTTTGCTGCAAATACACCTCAAATGGCAGTTCCCAAGGAGTCTTGTTATGAAAAATGCATGTTTATTATTATTATTATTAAAATAAAAAGATCTAAATATATGCTCTTATGTCCTTTTCAACTGGTTTTGTAAAATTTGCTCCTGGTATATTTTCATTTATTTATTTTTCTGCCCACTTCAAAGGTGTTGCTGAAAACAAGTGAATTCGGATCTTTTTAAAATCAATAAATGCATACTAAATCATGATTGTCATTTAAAAAAGAAGGGAACAGTTGGTTCTGTCATATTCTTGCCACAGACATTTCAATAATGTGTTGACTGACAAATACATGCTTATTATACTATGGGTTTTTTTATTGTCTTGCAGTGATGAGAAACAAAACCTTAAAGATGACATGGAGACAGCTGATCAAGAGGATAAGAAGGTAAAAACTTTTATTTGTTATATTTTTATATTTAATTTATTGACATTTATTCGTAGAAGAATAGACTGTAGAAAGAAAGAAGTAGAAATGTCCTGTAAAATGAAATGCGCTGGTTGTTCTCTTGATGTATTTTAAATTCCAGTTATATGGAAATGTTCTAATATTTGTAGAAAATATTATCACTTACCTGCTCTGTAATGTGTACACTTTGAACATTTGGTTAACCCTTTCTTGATTGTATTTTGAAATGATGAACTTTTAAAATAATTCTTTAGATCCTTAGATTACTTGTGTCAGTGGATTTCTTTGTCAAAATGTTTTTTCAAGAGGATTATTGAAAACTTTTTAAAAAGGAAGTTGCTTATTTCTGTGCTACCTCTGCTTATATGGATATATTGCCTTTGCAAAACACGTCATCGGTTTGTTTATGTTACTTTTCAATAAGACTGTCATACATTTTTTTAGCCCGACGCTAGCCCAGAGGAGGTAGAACTCAAAGAGGAGACTCCCAATGAAAAACCTGCAGAGAAGATTGATGAAGAATCAAAGGCGTAGGAGAAATAAATGGAAATCAATCAGTTTGTGGCTGATTGAACTTTGCTGGAAGTGTGTGATGGGAAAAGAAGAAAAGGAAAAATGCGTTGCCATCCTTCCAGATACTACAAAAAGAAAGAAAAAGATGAAGGATCAGAAATGATATAAATGTTAATGTCTGGACCAATTTTTAACTCTTTATAGAAGAAATCAATTTTAACAGAACAAAAACAGTCAATTTTGAGACTAGGGCTCCCATCTAAAACTTGGAATAATTTTGTTTTGCTGACTGAGGAAGTACTCTTTTATTAAGAAAACAAGGAAAGATATATCCAATTTTTCTTTAAAATATTGTTAAAATCTCAAATATTTGGTGACATTCCCATTTAAGGTGAAACTATTTTAGATAAGGCAATGATGACAGTTTGTTCTTACTACATTTCTGTTAAAATAGACAACACACTCACACATAGATTTGAAAGGTGCCTAAAAGGTAATTTGTGTCAGAACTGAAAAAAAAAAGTATATCTTTTGTTGCTTTTATAAGGGCATCACAGACTTTATGGTTTTGAAATATTTAATCACCATTTTTCATTTAGCCAAACCAAAGAAGATTAAAAATAAAAAACAGGGTAAACACAGTAAATTGACATTTTAAGACATCACTATCAGAATAGGAGTTATCTTATTCAGGTATTTACATTTTAGGGTAATAAGTGTACCTTTTGAAATATATTCTTTATTGAGAATATGAGAACATTAGCATAGAATTTTGTTGGTATCAAGTGCTTTAGTTTAGACAGGTAACCACATATTCTAAAGAACATTTGAAATTTTCCAGTCATTGGTAATTATTGTGAAAATGGTGATTTGAGTTGTAGAATGAACTGAATTTGGGAGACCATCAGCTTGAGAAGTGGATCTGTCCTGTTTTGCTATGGCTAGAAAACTGTAGGCTTCAGTCAAAACCCAAGCTTTATGCTAGACAGGCGCAACTTTAATATGAAAGTTATATGTGCTGACTGTGCTGTTAGCATTCTATTTCCTATGCAGTATAACGTATTTTGAAATAGCTGGAAAGAATGATGATAATTAACAAACTGCTTGACCTGCTTCTCCATATGTATTTTACAAACTTATTTTACTCAGTATAAGCAAAGGCCGCTTATGTAGTTTTCATTTCACTGTAACAACTTATTTGTGTCAAGAAAGTGTTTGACAGTTTGATATAAAATAGCACCATATATGGTCATTTACTTCTTGACTGGTGTTACTCATATGCTTAAGCATGAATGTTTTATACAGCTATATTACATCAAAGTGTACAATTTTAGTTGAGATTTACACATACAGTTTATGTCAGCTTTTTCATTGTTGGACATTAGTGTAATGACATTTTAAGTTTTTGTTCACAAGTATTAGCATTTTCCCTTACATATTTTGACATCATTGTCATAAATTGGAGCAGTGAAGATAAAAATTATTAGTGTTTTACAATGACTTTAGTACTTAGTTGATAACATTACCTCAGGCAGTGACTAGAGACACGTAGATTAGTTCCACCTCAAAGCCAAGGTCACATAGGATGTCATAGCACATTTCCCGTGGTTAAGATAGGTTGTACTGGTGCAGATTCAGTTTGGTGCGTATGTAGTACAATCACGGTGGCTAGGGATGATTGCAATATATCACAATGCATTTGCAGCATGCTGCTATGCAATCAACTATGGCTTACACATGCTATGTCCAGTGATGCAGTATGAAATTCACTGGTGATATCACACCATGCATTAAACTGACTCTGACACAGTCAATACTCAAATCAGTTTGAGACATTAGGAGGGTGGAAGTGACTTAATTGGGCGTCTCAGGGGCCGCTTTCATATAAACGAACTTCAAACGAAAAAAAAAAAATTAAAAAATTGGTCTCAATTCTCCAACCAAAGATACCAGTCTGTTTTATCCTAAGTTAAATGAGAAGAAGCCTAAAAAAATGAAATATTGAGCAAGTTTTTTTTTTTTTTTTTTTTTTTTTTTTTTTTTTTTTTTTTAAGAAAGACGTGGCTAATGTTTTTTGACCAATGGTTTCTTAATTTTGGAAGAATACTACAGTTTCTTTACCAACTTTCAGGCCTAAGATTTTTGTGAAACCCAACTTAAATATAAACTTTGGTGCAAATTTGCAAATGGCCAATGAACTCCTAACTTTGAAAAGTCACCCCTCTCTTTGTACATTTTTGAAATGCGACCTACATGTAGTATCTTCCAATAATTGTGCTTCTTTCAACTGGTTCTATGAGATAATGTGTAAATCCTTTCAATTTGACCAAAGATTTTTTTTTTTTTTTTTTTTTTAAGAACAAAATCTTGCAATGCTCTGACAGTATATCTTTGTAAAAACAAAGATTGGCACAGTATATTTTGGTAATCTATTCATTAGTTTAACGAAATCAGGTTTCATTGTATATAAGGTGACAGTAATGGAATTAACATGGCCTTTGGTGCCACCGTTGTACCAGTAATTGTACGTACTTTGCGGTCATTGATTATATGTTATTGATGTACAAAGCGTTTGTTGGTTTGAAAGGTTCTTATTAGATGTTATAACAGTAGTGCTTTTGATCATGACATTTTGTTAAAAATATTGTAAATATTTCTTCCGTGTGTTGCCAAATAGCAAGGCCATTGGAGGATTGGTACTTTCTTTTTAATCTTATTGTCAGTAGGTAGGAAGGAGGGAAGAGTTCAGTCCTAATTTTGTCATATTTTGTCAGAACATCTGTGGTGCAATTTTTTTTAAAAAACCTACTTGATGAATGGTCATTTTTCTGGCTGCTTTTCTTATAACCATCCTGAAAAGTAAAAAAAATTGATGACAGATCTAATAGAATCTAAATCATACTTTAACCTCCTTTGGTTTCCACAATTTTGCTTTTGTGTAGGCAGGTGAAATAAAGATGAATATTGTGAGTGAGTTATGGTGAACTCTTGGTTTATCTGTTCTACCATGAAAATCTCCTTTGCCTTCAATTGGTTGGTAATAAAAGTTTGCCAGTAAGTGATTATTTGAGGTAATATCTTTTAGTTAGGGAGTTATCTACTGTACTCTTTGCTCCACATGTGAGATGTTATGTAAAAGAGCTTTTTAAAGTGACTTGCCCCACATTTTACCATTCTTAAGCCTTGCTCGCTCACTTTCTGACACTGCGCACTCAGGGGGAAATGTGAATGGATTTTTGACCAGTAACAGTTGGTAGGATAAAATTTTAAAAGGGGAATGACAATTTACACAAGCGTACAGGAGTGAAACTGCACATGTTGCTTAGACATTCAAATGACGAGGTTTTTAATGTATATGACTAAATGTTAACTGGACACTGTTTTAAATGTTAGATGTCAGTCGGGAAGATTTTTGACTCTAGTTTTGAATGTTCACCATATACGTATAATGCGTCTTAATTCCATGAATTTGAAATGTAATTCTAGGTTTTTGATCAGCTTATAGCATTGCTCTGTAAAATTAGTATTATGGGATATTATTATTGATAAGCTTTTTTTATCAGAAGTGAAAAACTATAAAATTGAGATAGGAACATCTCCTTCAGAGCGAGACATACGCAATTTGGTATTTTAATTGATTTCATGCCATAATCAGTGAAGTTCAAGACACTTAATTTCTAGATTTTGCCCTGCGTTGATAGAAGAATTTTGATGCTTTTGGTAGGAAATGCAAATTTTCATCAGATTTTCTTAAGCTTTTTGTACATACATGTTATTGTTCAACTTGTATCATGGCGCAGAAAATGAGAGCGTAGCATACAAATCTATAATACATACCACGGCGCAATTGATGGCTAACGAATAATAGAGCATATGTAAGGAGCCATTTATGGTAATTAGCATAAACTGAACGTAGTGTTTTTACGCCTTAAGAAGGCTCGTTTATTAATTTCATTTTGTTATATTGTATTTCGTGGACAATTTCGTGGATGTTTTGTGTTCAATAAAAGTGTCTAAATGAACAAAAAATTGTTTTTATTATTTTTTCTTATTATTTTTATCAATCATTTTCTAAGATGTCAAATATTTTTAAGCCTATAATTTGCAGGTTTTCCTAAATACCGTAAATCTAACACTGTAAAAAAAGATGGTTTTAGAGACATTTTTCGTCAAAATGTTAAGATAAATCATAATAAACAAAAGCTAGGGGCAATTTTTGAAAATAAAGAATTTATAATGTGACACAAGAAATGCCATTCGAAATATGAAATAATTGTTTTTACGTACAGACGACATGCATCGATATATCCTGTGTATTCTGCAATATGGTTGTGCATCTTAATTATGGACAAAAGTGTTGTAGAAAGTGTACTATAATAAATTCTTATTGTTTTATGCGTACCAGTTCATTTGATTTAAGAAAAGTAGTACGTTGGTAACCTGCTTCTAGACAATCTTTGTTGTAATCGGTACTGTAATAATCAGCCTCTTGGGGGAATATCTCCATTCATTTGCATTTTTGTCTTTCCTTTAAAACGATTTTAAATTCCAAAAGCATTCGTCAAATAGTCCCCTGAAATTAATTTACAACAGACAATGAAACATATTGTGAAATATCAAAGGATATATATTGAATTCTACTGAATCTCACAAGTATACACACACACTGCACATATGGTGAAAATTGTGCACGTTCTTATTGTGATTTATAGGTCTTCTTTAACATTGAAATATTTGTTAAGATGTCAAGGTGTATCTCTTTTTCCATTTTCATATTTTTGTTTTCAAATTATACCCTAGGGATTGATAATTATCTTTATCAAAGTATACATTGGAACAAACTAAGAAGTATTCAGTTCATTTTAAGTGGACTGCTAACACCACAGACTGCTTTTGATACATAATTTCGCGGTTTGTTTGGAAAAGAAAATATTGGTAGGGACTATTCTAAAGCATTTGACCTATAGTGTCTAAACTGGTGCAAAAAAAAAGGAAATGAAAGAAAGTGTAATATCATAGGTAATCCGTGCCCAGATTTTCACAGAAAGGAATATTAAGGCGTTAAACCGCTGTGCTCTGAGATGACACTTTTTCTGTCCTAAGATGGCGGCAATCTTGTGGGGCCATCTTGGAGCCTGACATGATATGTCTCCTGGCCTCAGCCAGTTTTATATGTGCATGATGGCGGATGAAGGTCCGAGAAGACGACGCAGAAGAGGTGGCAGAAAGGTGTAGTTTTGCTCCGTTTTGTCTCACTCCTTTTAATAATTAATGAAAAGTTAACATAAGAACATAGTATAGAGTGATTTCAAGCATAAGTTCAGTTTGTCATTTTGTCGGCTAAAGGATTATCTTATCAAAACAGTTCCTTGACTGGGTATTCATTATATATATGTGTATGTAGACGTAGTACATAAGTATTTTAAACAAGAAATGCCTTATTTTATATATAGAAAATATAAATTGCAAAGTGCATTCAAGGTTTACTGTACGTGTTTGAAAATTCCCCAAAGTCCAGTCATTCAGATATTATTTATAATTAGACACCTGGTTTAAATATATTATCATTCATTTTACTGCTAACTAGGAACGTGAACGTGATGTGAGTGCCTCTTCTACCAACTCCGCCTCAGGGGGAATCATGAGGCCCCCCATCATATTAGCAAAGCCAAATGCTGACAGGGTGAGTAAAAGATTTTTGCTGGGATTCGCTCTCTGCAAGAGCACACGCGTGCCAAATACATAGTTAATTTTTTCTTGATAATCTATAAGCTCACATCAAAAAGAAAATATGTTCTACCAGAAAAAAAGTGTGTGGCTCAACTTGTCAATTACTAGTAGAGTTGCCAGACAGATAAAAGGTTTGTGGCTTACATGTTGGAATTGTCAGCTTTATCACCTGATATCATTGTGAGGAAAACCATTTCTTGTGACTGTTGCAGTTAAGATAAAGAATATTTAAAATTGCCAATTGCTTGTGAATATAATTATAGAATGTCTGTAATTGCATAGAATTAATGTGTTTATAGCCTATAAATGATAACTTGAGAGGCCCAGACCAGCCAAGGCCTGTGGTGATGTTGAAGGCAAGAGAAGACAGTAGACCCTTGGTGACATCTACAAATACTGCAACACATAATATCCCAAGTCTTTTAGCAGGGGAACATGCTCCATCTCAACCTATATACCAGATACAGAAGAATCCTACATTGCTAGGTGTGTATTGCAAATTGCATTGGAAAAAATCTGGATTTGGTGTTTATGAAATGTATATGTTGCGGGCAAAATTGAAATTTATGTTTCTCAGGCGTATTTAAATTCTGCCTGGTTTTCAATCCTTCCTATGACATATACACTGGCATATCCAAAATTTGATTTAATAAAGGTTGGAGGTGCAAGCAGGGTGACAGAATAGAAAAAAATTGCATATGATAAGAATTGATCCGATATAATGTAACACATGAAACATGACGTAATTATAACGATACAGTATGATCTGTAATAGTCTCTCTCTAAACGTACTTGACGTGTGAAAAGATGATCAATAATGTGATGTATATTACTCCAGACTCGGCACACCCCCGCCTGAATTTCACCCCAGAGATGAGCTCCAGCGTGAAAGTGATTGATGAAGGGTTCCAGTGGACTGAGAACGGAATGGAGGTGAGGGTTCAAAAATTGTTGCAAAATCTATTATGGATTCTTTTTAGAGAATTGGTAATTGTTTAAAGCTAAAACTATTATTTCCTGTTTTTACTGCAAAATCTTCTATGGATTCTGTGTAGAGAATTGGTAATTGTGTAAAGCTAAAACTTTGCCAGATTGAAATATTTAAAAGTCTGTTTTATGATTTTTTCCAGGTGCTGACAGATAACACTGATTTCTTTGTGATTGGTGTGTTGGGGTTGCAGGGTGCTGGGAAATCCACCATAATGTCGCTGCTAGCAGGAAACCAGCCATCAGATGAACACAAGTCAGTACCGTGTGTGTGTGTGTGTGTGTGTGTGTGTGTGTGTGTGTGTGTGTGTGTGTGTGTGTGTGTGTGTGTGTGTGTGTGTGTGTGT